GATAATTTTTGTTTTAATTTTTTTTTAATTATTATGGCGTGTATGTGTATGACGGGTGGGGCACATAATGTGCCACCATGCTCCCACCTTTACATAGGCTCCGGGGATTAGTCTCAGATCATCAGGCTTGCCCAGAAAGTACCTTTACCTGCTGAGCCACCTTGCTGGCCCTTGTTTTGAAGCAGGGTCTCACACTGTAGCCCAGGCTGGCCTTGAACTCTTAGTGATGCTCTTGCCTCTGCCCCCCAAGTCCTGGGACCTCAGGCATGAACTACCACACCCAACTGATTGCTTTAATGTCATATATATATATCACTGTTTCTTTTGGTGTTGATCCCTCTTTTACAGAAGTTAGAGTTCCCTCTGTCCTCTGTGTCTTTGGGGTTCCCCTGTTTTCTTGGTGACGCTCTGTTGTCTGCTAGTAATTTTCCTCCAGCTTCTGCTCCGCTCCTTCTGCCTTCATTTTGTCCATCTCCTCTTTAACGTATTTTTGTTTTGTTTTCTCAGCACTGGAGACTGAACCCAGGCCCCTGTACACACCGGGCATATGTTCTCTACCTAGTCATTAACACATGCCCAGCCCTCTTCTTCTGCTTTTCATTATGAAACAAACTAAGTTGTCCAGGCTGGCCTTAAACTTGAAATCCTCTTGCTTCATCCTCTCAAGTAGCCGGATGGCAGGCCTGTAGCACCAGGCCCTGGGAGAACTTACATTTAATGGTTGTCTTTTCTCTCCCTAGGCAATCTAGACTCTATTCTACCCATTCTCTCAAGCCTCCTGTTCCTTCACTTTTAACTACATTTTCATGTTATTGGTCATCCCGATGACCTCTTACCAAGCTGCCCTTTAGCAGGTCCTGAAGACAGGGTCTGCACACATTGAGGCACTGAGATGATTCCCATGCCCACTAGCCCCTGTTCTCTGTGTGTGAACTCCAGGAACCTCACATAAATGGGATCATCAACATTTGGCTTATGTCACGTATAATGTCCTCATAAGGAGTTGTTTCTTTGTGTGTTTTATAGCTTTAGGTTGTAAACATCTTCAGAGGGCCATGTGTGGGGAACCTTTGTGTCTCTAGTCAGGGTGTGCCCTTCTGAAGTGATCTGCATCGCTTTCTGGGGCATATTATTGTTGATTTCCTGATTCAGAGTATATTGTCTGAAATAATTACAGTATCAGCTCATAATTCATTGTCAAAGGGGAATGTTTCCATCCTCTTGGGAGGAATGAGTGGGCTTTACTAGTTGTCGGGGCACTCCAGACCCCACCCCACCAAGGCTGCACTCTGCTACTGTTCCAGAAAAGCAACATCATTCTGTTTTCCTAAACGCTCCATTGTACTTCGATATTTGGCCAAAGTGATTTCGAACAAGCTGTTTTCTATGTATAGCCTCTTACTTTTTGAGCGTCGGTGTTTTGTTGTGATTGTGTATCTTGCCCGTCCCTTCTCCATCACGGTATGCCGAGCTGTCACCCTTTGGCCGGGTGTGGCAACGGTGCAGTCAGCAGTTAGTTTATAAAGGACAGCTCAGCAAATCCCAGCCCGTGTCCACACTGGGCTATGTGAGTCCAAGGTCCAGAAGCAGGGATTTATGCTCTTCGAGCAGTCTTTAGTGTGCCCTGGGAGTCTCCCTTTGCCTGCCTGTTGCCAGCCTTTACCTTCTCCCTCTCCTAAGGCAACAACAGACCCAACTTTAGCTCTTTTTTATCTTCTCTTTATAACTTATACAACTTTGTTTCCTAACAAAAGAGAGTGTTGAATAAGGTTGAGAAACTTCAGTTCCCTTTAGCCTGGCCATCTTAACCAACTGAAATTTTGAGTATACATTTCAGTGATATTAGAGTACAGTCGTATTTCATGGGGTTGCTAGAGAGATGGCTTGGAGGTTAAGAGCACTGGCTACTCTTCCAGAGGACCCAGGTTCGATTCCTAGCACCCATATGGCAGCCTCAGTCCCAGGGGAGCTAACTCCTGCCCTGCAAAGGCACTGCATGCACATGGTGTATAAATATACATGCAGGCAAAACACCGATACAATAACTCAAAAATAAACAAGCTCTCCACTAGAGAGCAAAGACGGAAGCACAGTCACGTTGTGGAATACGGTGTCCACCACCGTCTCTTGAATTCTCCTATTTCCAAATGGATGCTCGTGCCCATGAAATGGCAAGTCTCCAATTCCACCCCAGGCCCTGGCAATCTCTCTCTACTTTCAGTCTACTCTGAAGACCTCACGTAAAAGGATTCCGTATTTGTCATTTTATGACGAGTTTATGTCACTAGCGTCCTTCAGACACTGTTAGAGCAGTTATTAGGAGCTCTTTCCTCTTTAAGGCTAAGCCCTGTTCCATTGAATGGAGATAGCACATTTTAGGTATCTGTTCTACTGATGGACATTTGAGTTGCTTCCCTGTTTTACTACTGTGAATAATGCTGGTGTTAAAGTTTTATTTTATTTTATTTTTTTTTTGTTTTTTTCGAGACAGGGTTTCTCCGTGTAGCTTTGCGCCTCTCCTGGAACTCACTTGGTAGCCCAGGCTGGCCTCGAACTCACAGAGATCCACCTGGCTCTGCCTCCCGAGTGCTGGGATTAAAGGCGTGCGCCACCACCGCCCGGCTAAAAGTTTTATTTTTTAATTTTATGTGTTTTGTCTGTGTGTATGTAAGTGCACTGTGGGTGTACCTGATGAGTCAGAGCCCAGAGGAGGATGTTGAATCCCCTGGAACTGGAGTTAAAGATGGCTGGAAGCTGCCATGTGGGTGCTGAGAAACCAACCCAGGTCCTCTGCAAAAGCAGCCAGTGCTCATAACTGTTAAGTCATTTCTCCAGCCCTTATAATAACTTGTTTTTGAACCAGAGTTGAAGTTTATTAAAAGTTTTTGTTTTGTTTTGTTTTTCGAAACAGGGTTTCTCTGTGTAGCTTTGGCGCCTTTCCTGGAACTCAGGCTGACCTCGAACTCAACAGAGATCCGCTTGCCTCTGCCTCCCATGCGCCAGGATTAAAGGCGTGCGCTACCATCACCGGGCTATTAAAAGATATTTTGATATAGATTTTATACTTAATGATTGAGAGAAAGAGAAGCACTCAGGAAGAAAGTCAGACACATGCAAGAACGTGTGTGTAGGCATCTCAAAGAGGGGCGGCGTCTCCATGTCATGCTTTAAAAACATACAATGAGAAGCTGGAGTGACTGGTGTTTAAATGCTGGCACAATTCTAATGGCACTGTGCCATGATTTTCTGCCACCATTTGGATATCACTGGAGACCAAATAGGCTTAATTTCTGAGTGATGATTATAGTTCTTGGAAACTGGTAACAGGGCCATGCCGAAAGCCAGCAGCTGCCTCAGCTTAATGGGGGAGAGCAGGGAGTGGCTAGGATCATCAGCACTTGGTCCTATCTGGAAGATGATGTGGTCTGGCGAGACTTAGGAATACAGAGCATGGGTACCAGGCAGAGGAGGAGGGGGGGGGGGGTTGCAGTAGGTCAGGGTTAAGACAAGGTTAGGCTAGGCAGGTCCATTCAGAGGACAAGGAGCCAATGTGTGGAGCTCCCAGTTGGGCAGGACTAGAGTTCGTACTAAAGAGAAAGCAGTTGGCTGGGTGAGGTGAGTGCCTTTAATCCCCGCTCTCAGGTGGGCAGGCATATCTCCAAGTTGAAGCCAGCTGGTCTACAGAGCAAGGTCCAGCCAGCTAGAGCTACATAGTAAGACTCTATCAAAAACAGAAAGCAAGCTAGCCATCATGCCTTTAATCTCAGCACTTGGGAGGTGGAGGCAGGCAGATCTCTGGGAGTCTGAGGCCAGCATGATCTACATAGTAAGGTCCTGTCTTAGAGAAAGGGGGTGGGGGAGAGAGAAGGAAAGAGAAAGAGCAATTGAAGTGCTGGGTATGATAGTACACTTGTAGTAGTGCACTTATGAGGCAGAGGCAGGAAGATCAAGAGTTCAAGACCAGCCTCTGCTACACTGAAAGTTTGCAACCCTGACTTTCTGAAGCTACTTCATACTAATTAACAAATTCCATCTTGGAAATCTTTTATTTCAATCTTGTAAAAGGAATATACCAAGAGCTGGAGAGATGTTGCAGAACAGTAGTTCTCAACCTGTAGGCTGCAACCCCTTTGAGAGAGGGGGTCAAATGACCCTTTCATAGGGGTCACATATCCTGTATATTAGATATTTATATCATAATTCATAACATTAACAAAGTTATAGTTATGAAGTATCAATAAAAATAATTCTATTGTTGGGGTCACCACAACATAATAAAAGGAACTGTAATAAAGGGTCACAGCAATTAGGAAGGTTGAGAACCACTGCCTCAGAAGTTAAGAGCATTCATTGGCTGATCTTCCAGAGGAATCAAGTTTGATTCCTAGCTTCTGCATAGCAGCTCACAACCATCTGTAACTCCAGCTCCGGGGCATCTGTTGCCCCCTTCAGACCTTTGCACCGCACACACATGGTCGGTACACAGACATACAGGCAAAATACCACTACACATAAAATAATACATTTTTAAAGGAATATTCCAAATTACGACCCTGTCTGCACCGAATCAGACACTAGACCTTGCAGCCTGAACTTGGCCTCAGCTGCCTTCCAGGAACTACAGCCAAGGGATGAGAAGTGATGCATGGAGCTACATGCCTGGGAACTCACCTCTGTGTAGAGAAGAAAGGAACAGATTTTGCTTGCAACTAAGTCTGTGTGTTTGTAGTGGTTAGCAGGGACCAGTTTATTCACTGTCAAAGTTAATTTTCAACCTTCAGGTTTCTGAAGTTGTTGAAGGAGCAGTTTGGAAAAGCTCCGAATATATCCGAAATATGCAAATGTAAAATGTGTAGACATGAAAAGGCAAGCCAGTGTGTGTTTTCACAGAAGATTCAGTTACCTCCTCTATCATATCACTAGATTCTATGACCATATTCTGAGTGTGTTCATAGCTCCCTTTAAAGTTATTTCTTATTCTTTTTTTTTTTTTCTTTCAGACTTCTTGTTTAAATTCTTGGTCATCGGAAATGCAGGAACCGGCAAATCTTGCTTGCTTCATCAGTTCATTGAAAAAAAATGTGAGTGAGACCAGACATTTTTGTAAAGTCTGAGCACCCTGGGCACAGAGGTGCTTATGGGAAATCTGAGCTTTCTGGAGGGGGAACCCATAGCTTCGAAGTACTTCAATTCTAAGTTTTTATTATTTGAAATTTTCATACATGTATATACTTCGATCATCTCCACCCCCAGCCCCTTATCCTCTCCACCTCCCTCTAGAACCCTTCTTCCTAAGATGCCCCAACCTCTCCCTACTTGCATGTAACATCACTGAGTTTGATTAAGGTTGCTTGCATGCGTATGTGTGGGGGGTTATTTACTGCGTCATCGAGAGCAGACAGCTCACCACTGGCTACACTCTGAAGTAAAGTGACTCTCCCTCCCCTAGCGGCCATTGACTGCTAATATCTCCTCAGCTAGGGCTAGTGCCTAGTGGGCCCCTCACCCATCCATGCCGGAGTGTTGACGGCCCCACTTCGTGCAGGTGACTTCCCGTCAGTGCGGTGAGTTCGTGACTGCAGTGGCCGCGCCGTGTCCAGAGACAGCATTTCACAGCAGCCCTCCCCACCCTCTGGCTCTCACACTTTCACCTGCTCCCCCCTCCCGCCCACTTCTCTGTGAGCAGCAGCCAGGCTCTGTCTTCAGCACTTTGAGCAGTTGTGGGTCTCTGCATCAACTTCTGTCCACTCCAAAAGGAAGCTTCTCTGACCAAGGTTGAGAGCAGCACTAATCCACGGGTAGAATCATAAACGTTTAGAAGGCAGCTTGACAACATGTCCATTTAGCAAAACAACTATACTAGGTTCTCCGCTGAGGTCTATAACCTCTCCAGCATGGGCTTTTGGCCAAGATTACAGTGCTAGGCATGAATTTCCTCCTGTGGGGCAGGCCTCAAATCCAGTCTGAAGGTGGCTGGTTCCTTCTGTAACATCCAGGCTACTGTTGTGCCAGTGGGCGTGTCTTGCCTGGTGGGTCAGTATTGTATCCCACAGGGTCTACCACTAGGTCAAAGGACTTTTAAGTAGATTACAAGGTTGTGTTTTGGGTTTTGTTTCGTTTTGAAATATAAGGTCTTGTTATGTAGCCTTGGCTACATGACTGAAACTTACTATGTAAACCAGGGTAGCCTTGAACTCAAAGAGATCCACCCAATGCTCCTTGCCTTCTGAGTGCTATTATTAAAGGTCTGTGCCCAAATAGGTTGTATTCTTAGACTTTTACATGACAGAATTTTTATTAATTTAGTATTTCAGTTTAGTAGTGGCTCAGTTATCGTCTTTTCCTATCCTAAGAGATGACAAGATGGTTAGCATAGCCAAGGATTCTTCAGCAGGGACCCTGTTTCCGGCAGAGCAGCCAGATACACATTGGAGTGCAGTTGGGCAGGTTATAGCCTTCAGTTGCTCTGGGTGGCCTTTAGTGCCTCTCAGGCCCTTCTGTCTCCTGTCCTGTCTACAGGCCAGGAAGTGAAATGGAGAACTCAGAGGTGCTCCTGGGAGGAGTGTCTGTTACGGGGGACTCTGGACACAGCCCCACATGCTTACGTTGACTAGTAACATTTAGGAAAGGGAGATTTGATCTTTCTTCCACAATATATGAGAGTATGGAAGCCGGTAGGCTCAAAAAAGCCCTTAGAATAAGCAGAACTGTGATCACAGTGTAAAGAGCTGTGGAGAGTGATCTGCTAGTTTAGGGCCGTCAGAGGAAAGCTCGACACAGAACTGGCGTAATAAAGTGCACCTAAGGTGGGAACCCCTCAGGTGGGGAAGAGTACAGAGTGTCTTGACAGAGAATGAAAAGATGTTTCTGGAATTTATTCTGCCACTTCCTCTGCCCAGCATAGGCTCTAGTGTGGTTTACCAACAGAGGTGGTTGGTTCTCTGTACGTTCGCTTGCTTTTGATTTTTGGAAACAGGTCCTCACTCATCCTTTAGCTCTCGGGCTATAGCCAACTTGGTCCCAAATCCATGCCGGTCTTCTTGCCTCAGCCTCCCAATTGCCAGGACTGCAGGCATGAACCAATACCCCTGACATCCTTTCCGTAGCTAGTGTCTGCTCCATCTCTGAAAAGAACAGAGCAGCCAGGCAGGGTGTGTATCCATCCCTAACTGTCCCCAGAGCCTCAAGGACGAGCTCGCTCTCTCCTTGTCACAACAGCACGCCTCCACCTGGGCTGCTGCCGAGGTCCTCCGTGCAGTGTGCCTGGGGTGGGGGGGAGGGGCTTCCTACCTGATCACACTGAGTCTGTCTCTGGCGTCGGCTGGATTCACTGTCTAACCTCTCATCCTTCTAGGAAAAAAAAAAAAAAGACGCATCAAGTGGCCCCCCTGATTTCAGCAGCAGTCCGCTGTGTCCAAGTCATGATGGGAGCCGGCAGGGGACAGGAGTAGCATTTGTTCTAACTCATCCTTTGTCACAGCCACCTTGTACTGATGGCATGTCCCAGGTGTATTTAGAAGTGATGGGACTCTGCAATAAACTCATTCAAAGTTTTGCTGTGCAATGCTAGAATTAATGAACATTTGGCACCAGCAATACACATAAGAAAGGACAAAAAAAATTTTTTTCCTCAGACAGACCCCAAATCAGAGTTCTATGATCAGGTTATCCTTGGGGTCCCCTCTGTTCAGTTCTTTGGAATAACTGCACTTTGACCACCTCACTGCTGACCAAGTGTCCAGCTGGTTACCAGGCACATGCCCTACTGTGCAGCAGGCTGGTGTCAGAAGGTGGCTGGTGTCAGACTTCTCCATGGACAGTAGGGTGTCACAGGCTCAGGGCAGCCTCTTCCAGTCACTATAGCACGTGTTAGGAGATGGGGGAACACCCTACTGTCTCTTTGAGAAAAGGAATCACGTGATTTAGTTAGTGTCATTCGTCAGCTGACTGTTAGAGATGGATGGCTGAAGCTAACAGCCTTCCCATCTGCAGAGCCCTTGGTATGTCCCCTGCTGTGGGAGGTCTTTCTGTACACTGTGAATATGTGTTGCTCTGATTGGTTGATAAATAAAGCTGCATTGGCCTATGGCAAGGTAGCTAGAGACAGGCAGAATTCGAAGCAGCTAGACAGGAAGAGAAAGGAGAGGCAGAGAGATGCCAGCCTGCCACCCAAGGAACAACATGCCAGCAGACTGGTAAGCCATGCAACATGTGGCAAAATATAGATTAATAGAAATGGATTAATTTAAGATATAAGAGCTAGCCAGCATGAAGCCTGAGCCATTAGGCCATACATTTGCAAGTAATATAAGCCTCTGTGTGTTTACTTGTCCTAGCGGCTGCCGGATGGGCAGGACACAGGAAAACTTCTGACTACAGTCCCCTGCCCCACTTCTTTTTACTATTTTTATTTTAGCCCTTGATCCTAACATTACTGTTTAAATCTGTGAATTGTTAACTTCATGTTCTAAAATGTAATTATTTGTTCTGTTTTTCTTTTTTAGTCAAAGATGACTCAAATCATACCATAGGAGTGGAATTTGGCTCAAAAATAATAAATGTTGGTGGTAAATATGTAAAGTTACAGATATGGGACACAGCCGGACAGGAGCGATTCAGGTAGCTCTCTTAATTTACTAAGAATACTTGAACTTGGACTCAAACTATTTAGCTAGATTCCCTCACTGCGTGTGGTCTCAAACCAACATGTACACTGATTTCAAAAGCTCCAGCTCAGCCTGGAAGTTCTCACTGCTCAGAGTACTGACTGGACCCCAGATACCAAAACAAACAAGCAAGAGACAGCACTAGATAACTAGAACCTCTGAGGTGGCGGCAACTCAGTCAGGAGGCTGTGACGCTGAGCATCTCTGTAGCTGGGTTCAGCTTTCGTGATGTCTGTCCTTTGGTGTTTTGAGGCAGGGTCTAGCTGAGCAGTCTGGGTAGACCTCAGGCCCATGACCCTCTTGTGTCATGCTCTTGAGTGTCAGGATGACGGGTGTGTAGCACCATCATAGCTGTAGTATGCTGCAACAGGACCAATGGCTTTTTCCACATTACACTTCTGTGAGGAATTTTCCACATTACACTTCTGTGAGGAATTTTTAAACACCCATGGTGGGTTTTTATTCCTTTACACTAACTGCTGTACAGCCGCTATGAATCCTGCAGGACACTCCTGCACAACTGACCCCAGGTCCCTGCTAATCAGGTTGTGTGGTTAGCATCTTGTAACAGTGAATGCAAGACAGTGTGTGAACATTTTAGTCATGCTTTCTGCACAGTCCATCAAGTCATGGAGTCACCCCCACAGCAGACTTTTCACTTTTTAACTAAAATTGGGGCTATGGTATGGTGGTACCTATAGTCCTACTTTGGAGGATGAAGCAGGAGGATCATTTAAGTCCAGGGGATCAAGGCCAGTCTGAGCCATACAGTGTGAGACCATAGGAGGTGCCAAAGCAAATGTTACTTTGCTAGTATAAAAAAAAAAAATCTACCAAGATGGCTCAGTAGGTAAAGCCGGGCAAGCCTGACGATCCGAATTCCATCCCCAGAACCCCTGTAAAGGTGGAAGAAGTCACGTCACAAAGTTGTCCTCTGACTTCTACATACATGCCCCACCCCAACGTCATACACACAATAATAAAGTTTTTTTAAAAAGCTAGCAAAGAAAAATTGGCATTACAGAAGAGAAACAGATCATTGAGAATGTGAAGTGGACAAAAGGCCAGTCCTCGTAGAGCAAGCAGTAAAGAAGGGTGTTCCATGGGGCAGAGTAAATGTGGGCCGACAGCAGGAATCTAGGCTGCTCCCATCCTGGGCTTTTCTGGGGAAGGAGGGAGAGAATGGCACAGGACACCCGCAGGTGGCAGACAGAGATGGGAAGGTTTCCCAGAGCTTGGCGCCCACATAGAGCTAAGGACATTTGGGCCACATGCAGACGCCAGACCTCCTGTGCCTAAGGAGCTGCTCAGCAGAGCTGCCCCTCTTTGAAGAGAGTGCCCCTTGTCCTGGCTCTGTGTTGTGGTTCACAAGGAAACATGGTTTTTAATGGGGAGAAGTAAAGGCCTCGATTGTTAGAAGCCTGTCATTCCTTTAGGTCTGTGACCAGAAGCTACTACAGAGGTGCAGCAGGGGCACTCCTTGTCTACGACATCACCAGGTAAAGTCAACTCCCCACCACAGAGGCCACCTGGTGTTCTGCGTCCCTGTGTTGGTGAGATGTGTGATTCACTTTGGTCTAAGAGGGAGCATGGCTGTGCCCAGCAAACCTCTGGGCCCTCTCCTGGGGATTCATAGAGGTCTTTTGTGTTTGTCTGTGAGCTATTGGGTCTGAAACAAGCCTTCTGCCTCATTGTTCTTCTTCACACCATGTGGGACACATTCCGAGGTCTGCAGGGCTCTGTGAATTCGCAGAAGTGAACCAAGAGGCTGAAGATGTAGACTCAGATCACCTGGGTTCAGATCCCAGCTCCAGCCAGTGACTTTGTGATCTCTGCAGGCCCTGACCTCCCTGTTCTGGTCTTGGTTTCCTCATCTATAAGATGAGGGTAACATTCTCGGACCCTCAGAAAGCCATGGGGGAGGGGTTTAAATCAACTAATGAAATACTTGCTGCAGTTGCTCGCTGCGTGTAACAGCTTAGTTCCACTCCTGAGTTGCTCTGGCCCCATTTCAACTCCTCCATGCCACATGTGGCTGGTGACCACAGGGTTGGCCAATGCAGGTTGCAGCACATTCCTGTCCTTGAGGACATCTCATCAATGCACTGGCCTCAGGGTTTGCAGCATTGCCCTGGAAACACGTGATCCAGAGGGTTCTACTAAGGGGCCCTTCCTGGGAGGAACCTGACCCGAGAGAGAACAGCACAAGGTTGTCTGTCTCTTCTGAGAGGCGGATAACATTCCTGACTCCACCCTCCTCATTCCCCAGTGCCATGAGAGGCTCAAGCTACCAGAGTGTGATATCACTTGTGCCAGTCCTTAAATGTGGGAGCTAACCTGCAGGTCTGAGTTGGTCCTGGGTGGACAGAGCCAGGGAGTCCTGCATGTCCCTGAGCCCCAGCTCCTAGTGGCAGGAGGTCCTTGCAAAGTCATTGTGGTGAATTCCTGTGGGTCAAGGTGCCCACAAATCTACAGGTAACAGTGATTAGTGTTGCAAGCCAGGCACATACCTTGTACATGCTCAGGGCTTAGGTGCATTTGTGAAGTGAATGAAAAGTCCCCTTTCCCTTTGAACCCAGAGTGTCTGACTCATGGATTTTGTTGTAACAAAAGCTAAACATAGCCCATGGGTCTGATGCATCACCAGGCATTGAGGTTCCCAAGTCACTTCTGAGGTGCGTTTGCCCTTGCTGAAATGTTGTGCATGGTGAGGATGACTGGAAAGAGTTGCTAGTTTTATAAAATACATGTATTATTTCCACAATCTTATGTTACACAGCCGAGAAACCTACAATGCGCTTACTAATTGGTTAACAGATGCCAGAATGCTGGCGAGTCAGAACATTGTCATCATCCTCTGTGGGAACAAGAAGGACCTGGATGCTGACCGTGAAGTCACCTTCCTTGAAGCCTCCAGGTTCGCACAAGAGAATGGCAAGTGACTGTTTCCTCTTATAGCTTCTCACAGGGTGGGTCTGGGCACAGTGACATTTATTTGGGTTTAAAACATCTGGTGGAGCCGAGATTAAATTATCTTAGGAAATTGTGAAATCTCCACTGTCAACTGACTAGTTCAGCATAGCTCAGTATGTCTTTCTGCTGACAAAGGCCGGTGCATGGAAGAAAGCAAGGTGTTTACCTTCTGTAAGGACTTTTAGGTCTCTGGGATATCAGCCGTCTTTGGGTGGCAGAGTTTTATGTATCTTGAAACATGGTTGGCAGTCATCTCACATAGAAAGGAAGCAGAAGAAACACTCAGCTAGCTGGCTTCATTTTCTTACATTAAGTCATTTGTTTAAAGGTAACAGATCTCTTGTTTGTTTGTTTGTTTAATTGTTTTTGAGATAGACTCTATGTAGTCCTGGCTGTCCTGGAGCTTGCTATATAGACCAGACTAGGTAACAAATTCATTAATGTTAAAACTCCATTTCAAAATCAGCCACTGTTTATAGAGATAACAGCATTATAAACACATAGAGCCAGCTGAGACTAGGATATCCTTATGTCCACATTTGGTTGGACTCAAGGACAGAAAACTGTTTTCCCAGCCTGATGGGTTCCTACTAGGAAATAAACACGAACCAGGCATGGTGTTGGCCTGTAGTCCTTGCATTTAGGAGGGAGAGGCAGAAGGATTACTGAAAGCTTGAGGCAAGCCAGGACGATACAGTGAAACTCTGTTCCAAAAGCGGGGTGGGAAGAAAAAGGAAAGTTAGTGCAGTGCAGACCGTGTACATGAGATGATGGTTTAGAGCAGTGGTTCTCAACCTTCCTAATGCTGGGACCCTTTAATACAGTTCCTCATGCTGTGGGACCCCAACCATAAAATAAAATTGTTTTCCTTGCTACTTCACAACTGTAACTTTGCTACTGCTATGAATCGTAATCGTAATTGTCTTAGGCGACCCCTGTGAAAGGGTCGTTCCACCCTCAAGGTGTCACGACCCACAGATTGAGAACTGCTGTTCTAGAGCTATTTAGAAAGCAGGAGCTGTTTAGTGTGGCAAGTCCTCCACTAGTACGGACCAGAGGCCAACAGCTGTGGTGCAGCGAACCGCACAGAGCAGACTTTCCACTGGAATCAGCCCCTACTCTGGGGATAAAGGAGCATGACTTCAAGTGGGACTTCAGGGATAGAGAGTTAGCTCAGTGGTTAAGAGCCCTTGTTCTTGCAAAGGACCCAGGTTTAATTCCCAGCTCAACCCCTCCTTTGGCACCAAGTACGCACGTGGTGCACAGACATACATGCAGACAAAATACTCACACACACAAATGATAAGTAGTCAAGTGAGACTTCCACCCAACCTCCCCAATTAAAACTATCAATGATTAGAGAACTAGTAAAAATATCTAGGATACCCAAATGCACACATTTTCAAATTGAATGCAAATTAAAAGCCCCGGATGGGGATGGCTTTTCTTGGACAGCAGGGCTGTATCTGGCTTGGACGGACATGGGTCCTGCTTGTGTGTAGTGCAATGTAGTGATTTATCAGCTCCGTGTCTGCATTCATGGTGACTCGCAGATCACTTGGAGAAGAAAATTGGGGCTCTAAGTCACAATAGCCAGTATGCTTACTTCACCCTGTCAGTTCAGGGGAACTGATAGTGCTCATTCTTCAGTGGACTCCCCACCACTTAAAGTATCAACATCCCCGGATGTGATGGTACCTGTGATCCCAGCACTTGGGAGACAGAAGAGGTAAGAAGACCAAGATCAGTCTCAGCTACGTGAAACCTCATCTCAAAAAACCAGACAACAACAAAAATATATATTTATGGTTATAGGAATAGAGGAGTTAGGTACTGGATTGAGTTTTGCCTGTCACTATATGAGAATGCTGAGCAGTCTGTTAGCAGTTGAAAGTCACTGTCACTGGGCCAGCAAGATGGCTCGGTGTACAAAGGCACTTGCCTCTACGCCTGAGGACCAAGTTCCATCCCGGTGACCCACGTCGTGGAAGGAGAGAATAACTCCTACAAAGTGTTCTCTGACCACCACACGTGCCCCATAGCACACACTCTTCCAAAATGAATGAATAACGATAAAACATTTAAAGACCACTAGCTTCTAAATGTGCGTCCATCTTCTTTGATATCATTTTTAGAGCTGATGTTCCTGGAAACGAGTGCCCTGACTGGTGAGAATGTCGAAGAGGCTTTCATGCAGTGTGCAAGGAAGATACTTAACAAAATTGAATCAGGTAACCTTCTTCCCTGGTCTTATCTGTGGGTTTTGCCCTGTAGCTCAACAGGGCCCCCTGCCGGCTGTTATGAGCAAGGCTGTAGTAAGGCGCCCTAAATAGCATGCCAGTCATACTCAGGCTCACAGATGTATTCTTGGTCCTCAGGTGAGCTGGACCCAGAGAGAATGGGCTCTGGCATCCAGTATGGAGACGCTGCCCTGAGACAGCTACGGTCACCACGGCGTACACAGGCCGCAAGTGCACAGGAGTGTGGCTGCTAGGCATGCCAGCAATACAGGTGGGTTCTAGAGGCCCTGCATGCTGGACAGAACAGAGGGTACAGAACTGCAATGGGAGGGTTGGGGAGAGCAGGGGAGGAGATCCACAGGGATAGTCAGAGGTCTGCCCAGCAGCACTGACCCTGCAGGAACTCCTCCCAACCATTCAGAAGCAAAGGCAGAGCACACAGAGCTCAGTGGTACCTGCTGTGGTAGTTCCTTCTCCTTAAACCATGGAGTAGACTTGGCCTAACTGAGGCCTCCACAGGAACATATCTAGAACCAGCAAGCTCTCCATTAAACTTTTTTTTCCCTGTGTATCCCTGGCTGTTCTGGTACTTGCTCTGTAAACCAGGCTATCCTAAAACTCAGAGATCTGCCTGCCTCTGCCTCCCGAGCGCTGGGATGTATGCCACCATTGCCTGTCTACTATACTTTTGAAAGCTTTCTCCCCCATTTACCACAGTGGACTTTTTGTCAGGGAAGTTGAAGCAGGAGCTCACCGTATAGCCCAGGTGGGCCTACCACCTTATGGCAATCCTCCTGCTCAGCCTCCCAAATACTGGGGTTACAAGTGTATGCTAGCCTGCTCAGCTCACGGTGGCACTGTAAGCCGGTGTTAATGAAGGGTGACACTGTCCTGTTGGGCTCTGAGCTGTTTTGCATGTACAACCACACAAGCATCTAATCCCGCTTCACATTTCTCAGGTTCAGTGGTGGTTTCTGGAGCACATCTGCTGGAGCCTGAAGGGGCTGAAGGTTTTACTACCATCTGTTCTACTCTGCACGGAAGTAGATCTTCGTGGGGGAAACAACAGTGCACACCGGCGGACAGGACTCAGCAGCCATACTGCAAACTAACTCAGCGGACAATACCTTTAGAGGCCACATGTATGCAAAGATCCCTGCCCCACATCTGCCCCTCCTGTTCTGTTAAATCATGCTTGTGCTGCACACAGCCCGGCCCGTTCCTCCAGCAGAGCCAGTGTGACATGATAGAATCCTGCACTCAATGAAGCTTTTTTTTTCCTTTTCCAACTCACAGGAAATGCAGTTTGTGAATGTGAGCGTGCTCCTCTCATTGTGTTGGCTACACACGTGACTCAGTATCAAAGGACTCTGGCGCCACCAGCCAGGGCGTTTCTTATTTAATCCCTCTTACCCTTTTTACACTGTGTCTCTGTGATCCACACCTGAAATGCTAAACCCACAGGACTAACATCCGGAAATAAAGCGGAACCCAGTTTCTCATGCACAGTACACTGTCCTGCTCTGTGGACTGTAAGGCTCTTAACTGAGGTCAGTACAAGAGCTGTCGTGGGCCCAGGTCAACCTGCCCATCCTGCTCGGCTTCCACATCACCCTCAACCTCCACTGTCTGTCCCCTTGCTAGAAGACCCATTATAAGGGCATCACTGCCTCTTTTTCCACTTCTTACATTGTTTTGTAGTCCCTTTCAGCAAACTCACTACCTCTAGCAAAGGATGCTGCTTATTAAGAAATCTGGGCTCAGTAGTAAAGTGCTTCACTCAGCATGTGCAAGGCCCCGGGTTTGATCCCCAGCAAGCACCTCCCCATCATACACATTAGCATTATGCCAGGGGTGGTGGCACACATCTGTGATCCCAGTGCTCAGTAGATGGAGACAGTAGGAGGCTATCATGAGCTTGAGACCATCTTGAACTAGAGACTGGAATGAGTCCAGGGGAGAGGTGAGTCACACAAAATTTCCTTGTGGCTCTTCTTGGAGACATAAATGCCTTACTGTATACAATTATCAAGTGGTTTTTGAGACAGGATCTTACTATGTAGCCCTGGAACTTGATATATAGACCAGGATGACCTCAAATTCAGAGATCCACCTGCCTCTGCCTTAAGAGTTCTGAGATTAAAGGCATGGACCACCACACCCAGCAAAACCTGTTTTCCTAACAAGCAATGTTTCCTGAGCACTACCTTTCTTGTGCAAATTTTAATATGACTAAACTTCATTTCTCGCCTATTTAAAATGTTTTCCAACTTTGATACTTTCTCTTTGGCAATTTATGTGTGTGCTGTTGAATTTCCACCTGACCAGATCATCTGTCACTAATTTCTAGTTTAATTCTACCAGTCACAAACATACAATGCATAATCTTAATTGACTGGCAAGGTCTGTTTATACAAGAGGATTGGTGTCTTGGTAATTGGTGTCCTGGAAGAATTTGCATGCCTATGGCAGAGGATTTGGAGCCTCTCACTGTTGGCGTTTGGTCATCACCAGGCTTTCCTGCCTCATGGCTCATTCTCACCTGTTATCTCTAGTGCTCTCAGGAGGTGAAAGGTTCCAGCTCTTACTCTGAATTTATCAGTCCCATCAGATTTCCTATTTGTAGTTGACTCATACAGCTCTGGCTGTCCACACAGCCCTTGCCACCGGATGTCTTCACTTACCTGTTTCACTCTGGGTGTGATGCTCAGACATCCTGCAGAGTCAGTCATGTGGGTCCCAGGAATTCTCAGCATCTTCACAGCATGCTGACATGGAAACACCAAGAAGGCACTGTAGACATTGATATGTTTGGCTTCTTTTGCATTTCTTAAATGCTTTTCAGCTTCTCTGAAAAGGTTAAACATTTCTAGTATTATCTCATTATAAAATTGTCTAGCCCAGGCTGGCCCCCATACTCATGGCAATCCTGCCTCAGCCTCCCTCATGCTAGGATTATGGTTTATGGCAACATGCCAGCTCTGGGTACAGAACTCCCAGGTGACATTTTTCTTTCTCTCTAATGATCCACTTCCTCTGGCCTCCATGATCTCTATGAAGAATACACCATCATTCAAACTGTTAGTGCAACATGTGGGTTTTCTTTGAGCACTTCATGGCATCTTAGTTCTGGGCAGTTCGAGGATGGTGGGCCCAGATGGGTATTTGTGAGAGACAGGGTCTCACTAATGTGGCCTCCAACTCAAATCCTCCTGCCTCTGTCTCCCCAGTTCTGGGATCAAAGGTGCTCAGTTCATTCCTTTGGGTTTATCCCACATGGTGTTCACTCAACTTGACTCTTTTAGTTTTATATCTTTCATCAGATTGGGAGTTTCCAGCCATTGTCCAATCTTTTAAAGCCTTCATTGTTTATCTTTCTCATCTCCCAAGCCACGGGTCCCCATGAAACGCTGCTCTTCCTTGTCTTTCTGTTGTTCAGACTGATGATTCTTCCGTCTCCATTCAGCCATTGGGTCTATCCAGCTGTGCTCTCTCTCAGTTCTGATATTCTCACTTAGAGTTTGTGTTTTAAGATACAGTCTTACTCTGTAACCCTGATTGACCCGAAATTCCCTATGTAGCTCAGGATGGCTTCAAACTTGCAACAACTCTCCTGCCTCTGCCTCCCCAATTCTGGGATTAAGTTGTACACCAACACATTTGCCCAGGCACTTCCTGTTGTCATCCTCATTCACAGTCTAATCTTTGAGAGGGTTTGGATTGCTCATTAGAGCTCCTTCAATGTTTATATCAATATCTGCTATCTTTCCTCCTGAGCCTCCCAGTTCAGATGCTAAGGGGCATGGCCTTGTCGATACACTGTGGCTGTCATGTTTAACCTTGTGCAGAGTTGACTGTGTTTGAACCCACCTTCGGTCAGTATGATCCCAATTCTGCATCAATTCCTAAAGCCCTGGCTGTGCTGTCTGGACCTGTGCCACCTGTGACCCAGAGGCCCCCTGCTGGTTCAGTTTCCTTTGGCATGCTAGTGAGGCCCAGTGTGAACCCCATAAGCAGTGGCCCACCCGGCCAGTGTTGTTTCGGCACTCTGAAGTGAATGTGGTGCTCAGGCTTAGAGCCATGGTGGGAACTTTCCTGAATACAATTTTGTTACTGTTGAAGAAATCCAGAATGCTGGGTATACTGCAGGAATGAGGGCTGACAAACCCCAGCTGCCATCCTGTGGGCCATCCCCCAGCTCCCACTGCCTAAAGACCCCCACTAAAAGTCCATAAAGTTAAAAAATGCCCAGAGGTGACTGACAACTGCTTCTTGTGGAGATTTTTTAAATCTTCAGGTAATTTCAATTATTTAAAAGCTCTTGTGAATAAAAGAATTCCCCCAGGTCTCCAGATTTTCATACAAGAGGTACTAAGGATCAATCACAGATGACTGCATTCCCGTGACACCTTCCATGGTGCTGACTTTGGTGCTTAGAAAGCCTGGCTGTAGACCAGCTGGTCCTCATGTGGTCATATTTGAGATGCGCTGCAGGGATGTATCCCAAGAGCTGAACAGCCACCTCATAATATGGCGCTCATGTCTGATGTAACTGTGTCTTGTACGAGTCTAAATAAAGAAAAAGAGGGAAGATGTTCATGAAGATATACAAATGATGGGTGGACCAGTATATAGAGACCTTAATATGCCACTAACTCACCTCCTTGTAGAAACTAATAGCAAAAAATAGGTAAGTTGCTGCCAATCTAAAGCCTACCTATTTTGAAGACTGGAAATGTAACTCAATTGGCAGAGTAACCACCTAACATGCATAAAGCCCTGGGTTCTTACCTCCCCAGAATCACATTAACTAGGTGTGATGATGTATACCTGTAATCCCAGCAGTTGAGAGGTAGAGACAAGAAGAGCTGAACGTTCAAGGTCATTCTTGGCTATTTATTTCCAAAGCCAGTCTGGGCTACATGAGACCCTGTCTTTAAAAAGAAGAAAAATAACCGGGCATGGTAGTGGATGCCCTTGGGAGGCAGAGGTAGTTGGATACATAGCGAGTTCCAGGATAATCAGGGCTACATAGAGATGCTTCAAATTCACTCAAATTCAGATGCAGGTCATGACCAGGTCATGTTTAAAGGATTGCATTTATACCAGCCACAGAGTATACAGCGAAGATCTTACCTGGGCCAGGCGACTGCAGAATTGGCCATGGCATAGCATTAGTTTATTCATAAAGTAGACCATACAGCTATCCTGTTTTTCCTGAGCAGTGAACTTACCTGGAAAGCAAGCCTCACCTTCCACCTGTGCTGGGCCTTTCCCACTCTTCTCCGATACTACTTCTGGTGTCCTAAGTGTCAGGAAGTCTTATTCCGTTTACAAAGTCTTCTGAAGACATCTTTAACTGGAAAGTTGTGCCGAATTCTCTTTGGTTGCTGCTTTGTTTCTTGTCATGTGGGGGACCCCAGTGCCTCCTACATGCCAGGCAAGGGCCCTGTCACTGAGTGACAGTCCCAGCATGGTAGACATTTGCTCTTTCGGAAATGAAGCCTTCACCAACAGTCCATTTGCTGGCTCTCTTTCCTTGCAATTTAGTCCAGTTATTGTGACCTGAGCAGACACACCTTTGAATGAGCAGCCAACCTTCAATGAAACTCAGCTACAAAGATGTTGTAATAGGAACTGCCAGGAACATGGGCTGCTGCCCTGTGAGCAGGTAAGACCACCCACAATGCCTTCAATGAACTTGAAAATGTATAAACATGTTAGAGATTCCATGGGGGTAGAACAGATGAGCAGACACATAACCAACGCCCAGTATTCAGATATCTGCTAAACATACCTTTTAAGAATACATTTCTATTCTCATTCTCATCACTCCAGCAGAGCTGGGCATTCTTACTTCAATATTCTATCATTAATTTTAAGGTAAAGTAGCACCAAAAAAAAAATCAAAAACACTTATGGAAAAATTTTTTAATTAAGACCTTAAAATCAAAATTTTTAAAAAGACTTGTGTATCATTTATTTTAAATATGATTATATTCCCAAACATTTTCAAACATTTCCCGCATGGAAGCTAATTTTAAATTATCTCACTGTCTTGCAACTTGTCCTATATTAGTTCCTATGATAGGAAAAAGCTGATCAGATCAATTGGTTAGAAATTTCATAGGCTCAAAAGGTAATCACCATCTTTTGAAAATGAGGAAAATTGGAGCCTAAACATTAGGGACGCGGGTGTGGGAGTCACAGCTAATCCATACTGACATATTTGTGGTGTATGAACATTAAATATTCTCCAAAGTCCTGATCATTTGTGCTCTGTGTAAAAAGAAGGTGGCAAAGACACCAACATGGCCTTTCAGCACACCTCAGCCTGGACTTCTGCACACACGCAGAAGGATGCAAGCGTCTCCTACACAAGTCTGAAGGCCAGGGTGGGGGTCCAGTGTCCTCCCCACCTGTCTTTCTGAGATTGTCAGGTGCAACTTAATAATGTAGGGCTGAGTGGAGAACACAGGCCTTCAAGGCACAGCTTTACAAAGAGTAATTCTCAACAAACTGGGCCACTGTCCCAATCACCCTGATTATGTGACATTTGGGGACTATGTGGTTAACAGAGTCTCTAGCAAGGTTGTATTTGGACAACATGTAGAACTTACTCTTTAATTAAATATACACCTCAGTGGGAGGGCTCTGTACACAAGGGACTATACAAAACTAAGCAAATATTTTTAAAGTTTTTTAAAACACTCATGATTCTTCAGTATGCATTTTCAAAGCCTAACGGTTTTAAGATGACATTATGTGACAATTTTATATGGAATGAAATCAGTTTGTGTTCTAGAAATTATCATACTCAAAAACACAAAGTAAAAATATCATGGAAATGCTCAGCCACACGCCCAGCACTCAGTTTTACCCAACAAACTCAGATGCTGAGTGGGTGCTGGCAAAAGATCTCCCTGTCTCTCAGGAAGAACATGGTGCTCATCTTCTGAGTGTCTCTTCGGCATGATGGAGAAGGCACCCATCTCATGGAAACCTTTGTTTTTTAAAACTATTTTTTTTTAACCCTGACAATGGTTCCCTACTAAAAGAAGAACATTTACAGCCAGGCCAGCACACGCCCCATTCTCCCACAGTTCAGCAGCACAGATCACCAGGCAGGACATCACTTAGTCACGTTTTCGACCTACACTACCAGCACTGTGCATCGTGAAGCCTTCATTAAGTTCTAGAGAAAGAGAAGCAGAATGGAGGCGGTGACAATGGTGTCTGCTGGTCCCTTCCCCACAGGTCAAACAAACTCGGTTCATTAAACGTCATTTCAGATTACAAATTTTCAGTATCGCCATCAGCTATCTCTGAAGAGGGGAGTGGCGGGACAGACTTCACAAGCAGCTGATGATACCATGTGTGCTCTAAAAGGGAATACTGCAGTTAAAAGAATGTGACACTGACTCAAAAGAAATGGCATCATTGCTCTAAACATGCACTGCACGTCACTCACTGGAATGTACTAGAACTATTAAGTTATATATCAAATAAATGTCTAAGTGATGATGTAAGGAGAAAAGGTGAGCCCGGCTCTGGCCAGAAAATTCTTAAATACCATAGTCTACACGGAGGTGGGGGGGGTGAAATATCAAGTGTCAGTGTTAGGCAGCAGAGTTCTCATTCGTCAGGAACAGCTCTGATCTCACGCTGATGCCCTCACTTTCCTTGGTGCTCCCTGCAAGGCAAACTGCACAGATGTGGTGCCTGGGAGTCCTGCACTGCGGGACAGGATGCCCCTGCCAGCTGTGGAATGTGGCATTGATGGAAAAGGACAGTTCCAACTATACTACAGGACGGTGTGGATGGGAAGCGCCTAGAGCCAGGTAAAGGCATTTGGTGTGGGTATCTCCAAAGATTAAAATCTTGAAAATAAAACTCTTACAAGAATATCAAGACTTGGGGACTTGTCTTCATAAACAAGCCAACATCTATGGCTTCAATGGTCTGCCCTAACTACTCAGGCAGGTGACCAACCATCATGAAAGCAAAACATCTCTTGAAAATTCCTAAGAGGAGCCTTGCAGGACCAGTCAGTTTCTTCCACCTGTGTGTGGTCCCATTTGATAGTTTTTGTTTTCTTTGTCTTTCACAAACACTTGAAAGAGGAAGTCCCAGCATCTATGCCCTTGCTGAGTAGCATCGCATGTACTCTGTCAGCCACGGGTTCTCTGCAGAAGTTGGCTTTACCCTCCGGTCCTTTTCCACATCCACGGAGTGAGCCCGCTGCCTCTGGGCGGCCAGTTTCCTTTTCTCCACCTGTCTTCTGTTCTTGGCACGAAGTGCTGATTCATGGATCTAAAGAAAGTTCAAAAATAAAGGTAGTAGCCTAAGCGGCTTAAGGACCAATTTTTTCTTTTAAAGATTTATTTGTTACGTATACAGAAGAGGGCGCCAAATCTCATTACAGATGGTTGTGAGCCACCATGTGGTTGCTGGGAATTGAACTCAAGACCCCTGGAAGAGCAGTCGGTGCTCTTAACCTCTGAGCCATCCCTCCAGCCCTTAAGGACCAATTTTTAACAATATCTAACTAAAATTCTGGGGATATAGCTTAGTGTAGCCTAATATAGATGAAGCTCTGGGTTCTATACCCGGGGTGGTGGCATACACCTGTTACCCCAGCACTTGGGAGGTAGAAGCATGAGGATCATAAGTTCAAAGCCATTCTTGGCTACATAGAAAGCTCAAAGCCAGCCTGGGATACATGAGACCCTGTCTTATGTTACTTAGCCTGATTCCTTGAAGCAAGGAGTCAAGCCCTCCCAATCTATGGCATCAATGCTTCACAGAATAGACTATCCTGTCACCACAATTCACCCCATTACCAAGGATAGCAAAGCTGAGCACAGAAAATTAAGATTTAGGGCTGGAAAGATGGCTCAGAGGCAAGAACAAGTATTGCTCTTGCAAAGGACCTAAGTTCAATTCCCAGAACCCAAGCTGGGCGTCTCACAACTGTCCGTAACTCTAGTTCCAAGGGGATCTGATGCCACCGGCCTTCAAGAGCACCAGCACTCACACAGGCCCACACACATACACATAACTAAAAATAATATTTTTAAAAAATAAAAGTTTGGATATAAATGGCAAGCAGCTAACTTTCATGCAATCTAGGACCAGCTTGGGAAAACTTGTTTTGCTTTTTTTGAGACAGGATCTTGCTACGGAGCTGTTTGGCCTGTAACTTACTACATAGATCAGACTGGCTATAAACTTCCAGGGATCCTCCTGTCTCTGTCTGCCAAGGACTGAGATTATAGGTGGGAACTCCTCCACAGTGAGCATGTAAGAGTATGTAAGTTCTTGATAATGCTTTAAAACACTGCATTAAAAAGTGTGGAGGACAGCCAGGTGCAGGCGTACAAACAAGCCTGTAATCCCAGAATTTGGTAGGTAGAGGTATGAAGATCAGAGGTTCAAGGTCATCCTCAGCTAGGTAGTGAGTTTCAGGCCTGTGGCTATATGAGATCCTGTCTCAAAATATAATAATAAAACAAAAAATGTCAGGGGAGTTTATCCTGTGACAGATGCACACACTGTTCAATCAGTCCCAGAGACTGGTCAGAATCCCCTGCTAACCACAGTTCCCTTGTCTCAGATTTCACTTCTGATAAACAGCATCTGCCACCTTGACTATGCTGGGGACGTGCCTGGCATTACAGGGAAACTGAGTGTGCACTTTCTTTTCCTGCCTGCTCTTCGGGCATCCCCGGCACTCAGCTGGTGCTAACACAGTAACTGTTTCATGATGGACCATACCCTCTCTGTCCTCCTGTCTAAAATATCTCAGGTCTTGAAAGAATGTCAAACCAAGGCTGAGTCAGGTGACTGGAGCTGCTGGGAACAGAACACTAGTGCATACAAGTAGGAGAGCAGCAAGCTGAACTTCATCAGAAGGGAAAACAGAGGTGCCCAGTAGACGTCAAGTCATCAGACACGCCGAGGAGAAAGCCTTGGTCACAGACCCAGGTTAGCAAAGCTGAGGGAAACCGAGACCTCTCCAGAGGGATAGCTCCAGCTCCCAGTGTACTTTCCCCCTGTGGCCCGGGCCACAGAACTCAACCACATGACATCTGCCTCTTCTCCTGGCTGGAGCCCTAGGCCACCAAAGTCTACTCCATCTTCCTAGTGACCAGAGGCCCCTTCTTTCAACTTCCATGGGCCCCACACCACCCGAGGACCTCCCATGGCCCAGAGCATTGACAGCCATAGGAGCAATGCCCTGTGGCAGCACATGGCTGGACTTGCCCTTCGGAGGCACACCTCATGCACAGAGGCTGATGCACAGACATTGTGTGTCTTCTGGCTCCCCGTGTCCATCTGTTTCTCTCCCCAGCCATAAAGAGCAAACGGGTGCTTGTTCTCTTTTATTTTGCTCGTTGATCTTTGGGGGCTCCTGGTTGCTTTCTTACTTGCTCTGGCAAATAAGGCACTAGGCTGTTGTCGAGGTTCGGGGCCAACGGGCGCCCTGTGAGTCTCTTTTGCCTTGGTTTGTTGTTCAGGATTTTCTTCTGTGTCTTCTTTCGGTGGTGCTTTGGAAAAAAGGGATGAGACAAGATGGAAATCCTTTAAATCAAGTTTATATATAATTGCTTAATTTAAGCTGAGAAACAATAAAGCTTCATCAAGTCAGTTACTTACATGTTTACTACGGCTAAACTCAACAGGTTGTACTGAAAGCAAGATATGGAAACAAGTTTGTAGAATAACTGTCATTTACCCATTTAAAAAATTGACAACAAGGGCTGGAGAGATGGCTCAGTGGTTAAGAGCACTGGCTATTCTTCCAGAGGTCCTGAGTTCAATTCCCAGCAACCACATGGTGGCTCACAACCATCTATAATGGGATCTGGTGCCCTCTTCTGGTGTGTGTATACATAATAAATAAATTTTTAAAAATGACAACAAAGGTACCAACATTAAATCAAAACAATTCCAAAGCAACCTTGACTGACGGCCATCCTCAGGATTCATCATCGCGATGACAAAGTGATGGACACACCCCGGAGCTCCCTCCACAAGCCCCAGACGGTGTGCCCCGCTCTGTACGCTTCCTCTGGGGACAGACCAGGCTCTCTTCACCAGGCTGCTGCTCAAGGTTAGGCTCTAAGTCACTCGCTGGAGTTCCAGGATTCTGCTTCCTTTTTGATGTACATTGATAGAAAACCTCCTCACCTGTGCCTCCAAAGAGGTGGCTGTCCACCTGAGTCTAAGGGCACTTGTCACAGTGACAGGATGGGGTCACCACAACCACTGACCACTCACCTGCGTGTAGCCCTTTACAGCATCCCCAGTGCAAAAAGCAAGAGATGTTGAAACAGAAGTGACTTCATGAGTCAGGGCCACCCATAGTGCTGTGATTGAATACGTAGTGTCCTCACAGGCTCATGAATCTGAACAATTCCAGCTGGTGGTTAGGAGGTTGTAGAATCTCTGGGAAATGGAGTCTCGATGGAGGAGGTAAGTCACTACAGGATGAGTGTATCTGAACCATCAAGATGTAAGCAAGCGGCCTCACCTTCAAGCTGCCATGAACTCTGACACAGCTTCCCCATCGTGATAAACCATACCCTCTCCAAGCATAGTCAAAAGAAACCTTTCCACCCTCCAGCTGTTTCTTATCAGGGATTTGGTCACGGTGATGAGAAAAGTAACTGACATGTATGGTGTGTGGGGCCTGGGGAAATAGAGGAAAATGGCAGGGATGTGGTTGCCCAACCTGGGGTGAATATCAGGTATCAAAGAACGCTCCAGAATGGCTCTAATTTCCCTTACCTACCTTTAGCGATTTTGACATTTTTAACACACATACACACACCCTTATAAGACTTGATTTTTTGCATAAATCCTTCCTGAGCCTGTTTCCTTCCCACCTACACACACACCAGAATATGAGCTCCTGTGAGTCACCCGCTGCTCAGGCATGGCATCGCCTCCTCCATCAGCTGTTGCAGAACTTGGCTCTTCATGACAACTATACAGACTGCTGTAACAGAGCTGGGTCCCCCCAGAGGACAGACCCTCAGCCCTGCTGCCCTTGGCTGGGCATCTGTTTCATATTCCTCTACGAGAGAGTGTACCCGAAGTGGGCAATCCAGACGGGGCATGCCTGACTGTAGGAAACCTTTACTTCTGTCTTAGCTCTAACAACCCATTTATTTTTACTGCGCATCCTAAGTATCAGGTGACATATGCCAAGCCTGGGGTCTAACATCTACATCCTACATCAGGCTGTAATCCCAGCAGTGGAGCGAGCTTCATAAATTCCACTTCATCCCAGGACTTAAGTCCACGTACTGCCCAAGTACCTTTCTGCATGTTGTACCCATACCCTTCCTCACCTGAGTGTAGGATGCGGGAAAGGGAACCTTGAAGTCAAAGCAAAGAGAAAAAGTAGCAGGGGACAGGACCTACGTAGATCAAGTATAGAGAATGAGGAACTATGTAGTGACCTGAGTTTTGGGTCCCTTCTCCTCCTCCTCTCCTCCAGATCTCCCAGGGCAGCTTGCCCAGGAAGAGACCTGAAGAAGGAATGTGCACTGAAAGGGAAGAGGGGATAATCAACAGTTCTAAGGACATGTGCACACGCAGTCACCAACCACAGGCTGGGAGCAGGTGACACTCGAGAAAGAAAGCCTCTCTGTGCCAAACTTGGATCGGAGGTGGGAGTGATTACACCTTAGAAATCATGGGGAATCAGGGAAGGATTTTAAGCTTAGAAATGATGTGGTGCCGTCTATATTTTTGGATGGGTTGGATAAAAGAATAGGGCCAAGTGCCTGCCAGGAAAAGCTGACAACAGCCCAGGGTAAACAGATACCCTGGCACCATGCTGGCCTGGGGGTGGGGCAGGAGAGCCTGATTGGTCTCCATAGATGTTCTAAGCAGATGGTCCTCCTATCCATGGACCCACGGTGTCCCAGGCATGAAGGAAGGAACTGTACAGGATGGAACAACCAGGCAGGCTGCTAGCAGACAGCCACAGGCACCTTGAGAGAGAAGACAAAGCTGGGGACCAGGTTCTGAGTGCACAGGACTGCCTAGGAGAAATGTGGAGCAGGGGGCCAATAGCGCACAGTTGGATCCCTGGGACACTTACTTAATGATCCGGCAGAGAAAGAACCCAAGAGTAGGCCAAAGGAGGGATGTCTAGAAAAGTAAAAAGAAACCAGAAGGAAACCTGCCAAGTGCCACGTTCCACACAAAAGCCAGTGTGATGATGGACTGAGACCCTACAACTCATCAGTGAGGCTCTGGTGGGTGCACGAGGGACGTGAGGGTCAGGGATCAAGCCAAGCAGCAGAGAAGTGGAGACTGCTCCACTGAGCTACTGGATCAACCCTCCTTACCGCAGGGACCCAAAACAGCTCAGTGAAGAAGTACAAAAGTCACTGCCCACAGGACCTAGGCAGGACCCCAGCATCCAAATGACTCCTACAAATAATTTCACACAATTACCAGAGTGTCACGGAAGATAGCCCAGCACCCAAGGAAAGATAACGATGCTGAGACAACCAGTTGGAGCAATAGACTTAAGATACTTAAATTATCATCTACAGACTGTGAAATAATGGTGCTTACACTCTGTGCTTCAGAAAAAAAAAGATAATGCTTGAAAATTATTCCCAGCAGGAGACCAAAGATGGACAGAACAGAAGAAAAGAGATAGACTGTAATTGCTGTAATTTAATATTTATAAAACTCTCAAAATAGTGCCTGATACATGGTAATTAGATATAAGTATATGCTTTTGCGATCCTATTTGAAAGAATGATGTTCAAAATAAGGATATTTTCAGACAAACAAAAACAGTATTTCCCACAAGATTCAGAGGAAGACTAACATTTTTCTCATCAACGGAGAGAACATTCAAATTCAAATAAATCCAGTCTTTAGGATGGAGCTGCCCAATCCAATGGCCTTTAGCCACATGTGGCTATTAAAAATAAATTCAAGTAAATTAAAAGGAAACAAAATGAGAGGACTGTGCACCTGTCAGACATGTCACAGGTCAACCATTCAGTAACACCACAGTGGATACCGTAGAAAATGCATCTACTACTGCAGAGCTGTTCTGAAGAGTTCTGTTGAAAAGAAAAGAAAAAAAAAAGCAGAACAACAAATGACCCAGTTGGGGGGGGGGGGGGGGGGGACAAACACCAGGTAACTGGAGATGGTGCATTCCCATCAAGTGGATGTGGAATACATATAGCACTTCATAGCCACAGCCATGAAAGGGAATCTTCACACATACACAAAACTGGACTTCCATAAACTGAAAATATACAGAACATAGTCTCTTAACCATTAGCAAAATGAAGCTAATACATCAAAAAATAATTTTCAAATCTCTTTCATTTTTGAGCCCAACGTGACAGCTAACACTTGTAACCCCAGTACTAGGCAGACTGAGACAGGAGGATTACTATAAATTTGAGATCAGTCTGGTCTACACAGTGACTTCTAGGTCAGCTTGGTACATGATAATTACATATAAGCACAAGCTTTTAAAATCCTGTTTGAACAAAGGATGTTGTTGACAGAGTGAAGTCCAGTCTCAAAACAACAACAACAACAATTTCCATTTTTGAAATTTAAAAATAGTCTAGGGGCTGAAGAAATGGCTCAGTGGGTTAAGAGTACTTGCTGTGCGAGCCTGAGAGCCTGAGAGCCTGAGAGCCTGAGCTCAGATCCTAGAACACACGTAAAAAGTCAAGTGTAACACCGTGCATCTGTAACTCAGCACTGAGGGTGGGGGTGGGGTGGTGCAGACAAAGGACTGTTGCAGCTCACTGGCCATCAGTCTAGCTCCAAGTTCAGTGGGGGAGCCTGTCTCAAGGGAATAAGGTAGACAGTGGTGAAGCAGGACACTTGACATCCTCCTCTGGCTTACACTTACACTTACACACACACACACACACACACACAAAGAGAGGGAGAGAGACAGAGAGACAGAGACAGAGAGACAGAGAGAGAGACAGAGAGAGGGGGGAGGAGGGAGGGAGACAGAGAAACCATGCTTAATTAAACAACTATGAATCAAAACCAAAACATACAGTTGTTAAAACACATGAAGTACTTAATGCCAGGAGCTGTGCATTTTAAGAAGGTTAAAACGGTAAACTTCGTGTTCTATATGTTTTACCACAAGTTAAAGTTTCTATTGTAATTACACTTGGGAGATGGAAGCAGAGCAATTAAGTTAAGGTCACCTCAGCTGTATACTAAATCTGAGGTCAACCTGGGTTATGAGATAGCAAGGACCCATAATCCCTAGGAGGTTGATGGAGGACTTCTAGTTCAAGGTCAGCTTGGGCTATGTAGCAAGATCCTCTCTTAAAAACAAAACCAGTGCATGGTAGCTTAAACACCAGCACTTGGAGGCAGAGGCAGGGAGATCTCTGTGAGTTCAAGGCCAGCCTGGTCTACATAGTGAGTTCCAGGACAGACCTATCTGACGGGGTCAAGGAATCCTATGTCCTCCATGGGCACCTGCATGCACATGTGCATATGCACACACAGACACATAAGT